CCGGTGCTGACCGGAGGCCGCTCCCTCGAAGGCGAGTCGTGCCTGGGCGAACCAATCTGACGAGCACTCACTTGTTTCTAAGATTGGCTCCAAGTTAAAAATGGACGAAAATAAACCGGTTCCGGGAAGCTGGCGGGGATGGTAGCGGGAGGCGTGCGGGGGAGTGGAAAGGCCTTTTAACCAACGCGCATCTCGTCGGCCCGCGGCACGTAAACACCTGCTGGGAATCGCCGTCAGGTTTCAGTATTCCCGAGCCACAGCCCGCGGCCCGCTTTCAGGCCTTTCCCGGAGTTCTCGCTCGGTCATTAACGTCGGAGGAGACGGCTTCCTCCGACCTTGACGGTGATCAGGCCGCCCGGAGGAGGCGGCGGACGCACCCGGCCCCGCAGCGTTTCCTCGTGGGCGGCGGGCAGCGGCCCCGCATGTGCAGGCGGGTTGTGCGTTTGGCGAGCAGAATGTACATCGCTCCCTCTGACCCTGTGTGAGTGCTGCCCTGGTGAGGAGGAAGGCCTTTCCATTTCCTGCTTGAAGTCGCCTACCCAGGATGGTGTTTTTTAAGTGACACAGAGACTCGGATTCTCTGGTGGGAACTCAGTTTGATTTCCTACTTACACCCTGTTCCCTCCCTTTCCCCCAGTTTCATGGGGTGTTTTCTGAAAACTGAAACCGTGCTGATTTCACACAAATACCTACTTCAAAGACATTTAGGGTCCTGTAAACCTCGGTCAGGATTTAAATAGAAAGAAAATTATTAATTGAATATATAAAAATTTAACTTGCAGGCGGAAAATCACATTTAACTAAAAGCTAATAACATAGAAAGGTTTTGGAAAAAGTCTTATATCTAGTAGATTTAATCTCAATAAGGATTACAATTAAATTAAAATTTTTACTTACACAAAGAGGTAGTTGTTTGTATTTTGTGCTTATATTATTGGTCTATCTTTTTTTTAAAAAGATGTACTTAACTTTTTTTTTTTTTTTAGTATTTCAGAACGGTAGTAAATTGATAAATGTTTGTAGCCAGTATATTTTTACTATCCTTTTAAAGCTTTTTAAGGAAATACTGTTGTTAGTTTGAACAACTTATTACTACATAGGAGAACTTTTTATGAAAAGATTATTTCTTGTTAATGCTGTAGTGCAGTGGTTCTCAACCTTCCTAATGCCGCGACCCTTTAATACAGTTCCTCATGTTGTGGTGACCCCCAACCATAAAATTATTTTCGTTGCTACTTCATAACTGTAATTTTGCTACTGTTATGAATCGTAATGTAAATATCTGATATGCAGGATGTATTTAGGCGACCCCTGTGAAAGGGTCGTTCAACCCCCAAAGGGGTCGCGACCCACAGGTTGAGAACTGCTGGTGTAGTGAATGTTTATTCAACAAGTATTTGAGTTTATATTATATACTAGAGGCCCAGTGCACTGGCGGGGGACAGGGGGTTCCTCAGCCCAGCCTGTGCCCTCTCACAGCCCGGGAGCCCTCAGGGAGCAGGCCTAAGCCGGCAGTTGGACATCCTTAGGGCTGCTGTGGAGGCAGGAGAGGCTCCCACCACCGCTGCTGCGCTTGCCAGCTGTGAACCCGGCTTCTGGCTGAACAACGCTCCCCCTGTGGGAGCGCACTGAACACCAGGGGGAAGCTCCTGCATTGAGTGTCTGTCCCCTGGTGGTCAGTGCATGTCATAGTGACCGGTCGTTCCACTGTTTGGTCAGTTTGCATATTAGCCTTTTATTATATAGGATAGGTGCTGTGCTAAGCACTAGTACACAAACATGAATAAAATACGGTCTTTTCCTCATGAACTATTAAGAAAGACATGAAAATCAATAAAAACATACCCTCCGGTGAGAATTTAAAAACAAAACAAACATATACTATAATAAAGGTATAGGTATAGGCAAGATGCAGTAAGTGAGAGGAAAGACAAATCAATTGCTTAGAGGAAACAGGGAGAATTTCATAGATGAAATAACACTTGAAGGATGAGTACTTGTTCACAGGGGAGTGACTTTCCCGGCAAAGGGAACCTTATGTTCAGTGGTGTGAAAAGTTGAAGCAGCATAGTCTATTTGAGAACTTAAAGCAGAGTGTCCCCCCAAAATGTATATATACCTTAACAGCTGATAGCTCAATTTTGAAGAGAAAATGTATTTTAGTAAACACTGCCTTTATAAAATATGTGTATACATTTTGGGGGAAACAACCTATATTTGGGGTTAGTTGGAACATAGACTGAGAGGGAGGATATGGTTTGAGATGATTCTGAAAGATTTCAAAGGGCTTGCCAGGATAGTTTGTGGAGTTTATTCTATCTGCCAATGGTTCTTAACCCTCTGAGCCCTTTCCTTAGGAAAATGGATATGGGTAGTGTACAGAATTTGGGGTATTTTATTGGATAGCTTCTTTAAACCCAGGATTCCTACCATAAGGTAGGGACTCCTTCAAGGGTTTTAAACAAGTGAATGATATGATTAGATTTGCCTTTTAGAAACCTTAATTTTGTTAGTAGTGTAGGGGATTGAAAGGTCATAAATGAGAGGAAAGCTATTGCTTGAGAAATAATGAGGGCCTAACATTAATTGCAGTGGGAATAGAGAGGAGAAATTTAGCAATTAGAATACATCTGGACGTGAAGAAGAGGAAGGACTAGGACCCTAAGATGACTGCCATATTTCTGACTTGGGCTGATAGTGGCACCGTTATCCAAGTTAAATCACTAGGAAAAAGAAGTAGATTTTTGATGTAAGATAAGGGTTTGGATGTATTCAGTTTGTGGTCTCTTTTTACATCAAATAAGGAGGTATCATATAGGCAGATAGATATATGGATCTAGGTTTTAAATTTAAATACGGGCTAGAGATTCAACAGCTTTTTGCCATCAAAGGAGAGAAGAAATGGTTTGGAAGATGGATAGAAAAAACATCTTGGCATCAGGGAATGAATGATAAAACAAGGTTCTATAGGAGAAAGGTCCATTGTAGGAATTTTCAAATGTGTTTTGAATGAATTGTTAGTTTCACAAGGCATTGATTGAGGTGTGTTAGGGGGTTACCTCTAAAAATAGTTAATAAATAAGTTTACAAATCTAAAATCTAGATAAAGACTGCTTACCATTCATATAACTAAAAGAATAATTCTCCAGATCAGCTTATCACTGGCAAGGTTCTAGATGATGTTAGACTAGATATAACCTGATAATATGTACCTTTCAGAGGATTACAAATCTGAATGCATCATAGACATGAAGGCAAGATGCCCAGTAAATATTTATTGCCAGAATAAAAACACATTTGCTGAAGCAGAAGCCTTTTCATTTTGCTTCTAAACTGCAGCCACCATATTTTATATAAAGAATTTATATATTTTTTACTTTTATATTTTTATATACTCCTGGCCCCTAGTTATAGTGCCTGGCAGTGGCATTGCCTCTTAGTTCTCTCTGTGTAATTCATTAAAAGTTGATGAATTTTTGTCTCATTTGTATGGGAAAATCAATACTTTACAGGGTTGTTGGAATGACTGAGTTAATATATAAATATGTGAATGATGATAATGTACTTGAACAGTTTTTAGTTGTTTTTTCCAGGACTGAGATGCTGTATTTCTAAAAGACTAGACATGGTGAATACAATTGAGCACTAATTGTCTGACATACATATCTACTGGTCCTTCAAGATCACTATTTTCTATTAGGTATTTTAAACTTTAGAAGTTATAATATTATATGCTTTTCATTTGTTTTCCAGCATGTTTTCCTGCTTTGAGCCAGTCTATCAAGGTGAAAATATAAAATTTAGATAAGAATAGATACCCCACGTGTAGGAGTTAAACACGGAAGTAAAAGCCAAGGATTAATTTTATAAAAACAGCTTTTTAAAAGTATTTTATATTTCTCTGGTAAATTTAATTTGGTTCTTTATAGTCAGATATCTGTACTATTTAGATAAAAGTTTTTCATTAAAATGATATTATCTCCTTTTAATATTTAACACTTGTGTTTTGGACTTTCTTGCTGCTATCTTGCGTAGGGTAGACACGGAACAAATGTTT